TTGCCAGAAGAGCTGCAGTTGTATCTGAGATGCCGTGCGTTAATCGGCCCTGACAGAAACCAGTGTTTCATATTGACAAACCACAGAGAACAGCAAGACCTATCTGAAGCAGCGTCCATATACTGAAGCTGAGAATAGATGAATTAATCAAAGAGCAGCAGTGGAAATTTGTTAAAGGATTAAAGGTTGTGAGTGATGCAGTAAAAACATGACAGTTGGGAAAAATAGGAAAGGAAATTAAATACTGGTGCCAGATTGATTTCCTTTCACTTGTGAGTTTAAAAACATTATACGATACAAGGCAGGTATCTTCAGAATTAGTGCATAAGGTTCTAGTATCAATTAACTGGATGCCCAAGGCTTTGGGGAAACCCTCTTAATTAAGGCACTGTACCTGAAGCACTGGAATACAATTTTAAAAGTGGTAATAATTATTCTTAAAGAAACATTTTTTTAGAGAAAATAATAATGCAAAATGGTTTTGGGGGATTTAGTCCATTGACTACAAATTGTTTACAGTATATTACTGCAGATTATTGCAATTATTAGCCCTTTGAACTGATTCTCACCTGTCATTCATGGTTATATTTTTGAACTCCAGGATTTCAGTAGGATAGGGTTCATGGTTTTCTAAAGAAGTAAAGGGAAAAAAAAGCAGGAGGAAGGGGGGGTGTTTAGAAAATCAAACCTGATCCAAAAACCTGCTTAAACGTGAATAGTCTGAATGGCAGTTTCCCAAAACGATGGAGACAAGCATGAGATAAATGTATACTATACTAAACACCCGAAGAGATTAAGATGTTGAATAGCTTGGACTTGAGCCTGAGCTGGCGTTGCTATGTGCTTGTATGTTTACCTCTGTAGGACCATGAAAAGTTCACCAAGGAATAACTTTGCAGAGACAAGTCTGGGTGGCTTCTCTACTCACTAGAAGGCAGGCTCCTCCGAGTCTAACACACCAGATTTATGAAGACCTGTTAAGCATAGGTATTTTCTAGATTATCCCTTTAAAAAAATATTTGCAAATTTACATATAAGCTAAAAGTACAGGGGACAAAAAGCTAAATGTAAGCAGTTTTTGATATCAGATTGACTTATCAAGCAGTGTAAACTGAGTCTTAGTGCAATGCTGAAAACAAAAATTATTTATTCAGGCTCCTGTTCCGCCAGGAAAGGGTTTTCATCTGTTGCTAGTTTCTTATGTTGGAGTTTGTCAGTACAGTCATGGATTCTAACATTTAAAGTTCTGCATACTGCCAAAGTCTTCAATCAGCCTAACCGCTGGCCTGTGTGCAGTATACCAAGAAATGGCAACAAAAATCATTGCACCTTTTTTTTCTTAACTCTCACAGTTGAAAGCATAAATTTCTTGTCCTGCTTTGAGTTTCTTTAGCATTTTTTTTCAGCATGAAGAATTGGTAACATTAAAGTTTAATGTGTGGAGAATCAGACTCCTACTTTTTCTCTTGTTCCCAGCAGCGTTGCAAGTCCTTTCCCACGGATGTCTCAGTCTTCGAAAATCCTTCCAAGTGTGCTTACATAAGCTTCGTACTGTAAAGGCTTATTTTTTTTTTTACCTTCTTTATTATAAGCAAGGACGGCCATTTGCTATGTTGGGTTGGAATCTTCATTAAAAGTTCGAGGTGAGAATGAAGTCACTCTATGACCAGGTGGACGGGTTGTGGGTGTTAAAATCCTTTTAATTAGATTAAGTGAAAACGACCCTGATCATATTTGAGATGGTGTGGATAATCTAAAGTCTTGCTGTATTCCATCACCACAGGTGGCTAATCCATCACAGACGGCTAAGAGGGATACAGTGAACATTTAGACAATAGTTAAGATTGTGGAAGATAAAGTTAATCTCAGGTTCCAATACGTTTTCAAGCCACAAAGCATCCAGACATGACCAATGAGGCTGAGTAAGACTCCTCAGAGAATCTCTAGTCTCTATCGTAGTGCAAATAGCCCTGTTTTATTTCCTATATTAACAACAGTCTGGGTCAAGCTGCGGGTATTTCTGTCTGTCTGCAGCCAATAGGTGGAATAAGGGTGAAGATGTGTTGATGAAGCAGAAGGAAGTATCAGACCGGATTTCTGATGTCGGCTTCTATTTTTGTCGGGTTCAGGGCCAGGGCAAGTTCAAATTCAGGATTAGGTCCTTTGATGAAATATATATATATATATATATTAGAATAGAATAGAATAGAATAGAACACTTTACTGTCCCAAAATGGGGTTATTTAGATGTTTATAGCAGCAAAATGTGTGCTATTTTCCAAGATAACGTAAAACTGACAAACTAACACAATATAATTACTCTTTCTTTTCCTTACCTTCCTTTACTTACATTTGAAAGCACCATGTTTCAAAGTATAAATCTTTACATGATCACATGTTCACATTACCTTCACTTTCAGTTCTTCTCTTGAACTTTAGGGAGATGAGGGTAAAACAGCAAAGGGAACATATCTGTATAGATGGATATACATATCCATCTATAAATACACAATATAAACACCCTGTGCAATAACCCTCTATAATGATCCTACTATTAGAATAATAATTAAAATTTATATATTCCATGCACCTTTTTCTTCTCACAGTCTTCTCCTTTGAATATTCCGGGTGATGTAATGAGTAAATTTCTCCACTATGAGATCAATTAAGTCAATCAATCAACAATCAATCAATACCAATCAATGTCTCTAGATAAAACCCTAAACTTTGGAACTCCTAATTTTCAGTATACAGTTAACCCTAACTCAGGCCATGTGGTACCAAAAACCCTTTCATGTTGAAAGCACGAGCCGATCATTTTTATTTCTCAACATTTTGAAGCTTGTCATCCATCTCAGGCATACCTGTTTGGCATGTCCATGTTATTTAAACATCAATTCTTTATGTTTTTAAAGAATTGAAAGGAAGAAATTGACTGAAATGTTAGCCAAGTTGACAGCCATTTACTAAAACTCAGTTTAAATGATGATCAATTATATGTGTATTAAAGGGGCTAGGTAAGATTTTATATAAAAAAAGAGAAAAGAAACTACATAAAATTGAAACTGCAGATTTAACAGGTCTGATGTCCAGCTGCTGACAGCTGTGACAGTCAGTGAGGGATTCATGTTATCAGGCCTTGTGGATCTTGGCTTTGCTTCAAGGATTTATCTGCAAATGAAGAGCTTCATAAACACCACAAAACAGCATCACGGGCGAGTTTAAAAAGTCCAGACCATGGTCCAAACACGACATTTCCTCAATTGTGTGTTCCAAGGAAGTCTTTGTTGATACGAGATTTCTGAGTGTTTTTACTAGTTTTCTCAGAACTTGCATGTAAACACAGGCGGGTTGATTTGCAGCTCAGTTTAATAGCACATTAAATAATATGAAACATAAGAGTTCTATCAAATATTGAAATTAAATGGATTTGTTCTAGAGAAGAAAAAACTAACTAGGAGAGTATATTCTACTGTTTCAGTCCCTAACATGATCAGGTATGTAGGCAGCCATTTACAGGTAAAAATAGGACGATTCTGTTAGAGCATGAGAGTAAAGTGTTTATCGGTTTCCTTAAGAACACTTTAGGACCATTCTCGGGTATCGTTTTGGGACTTATTTTTTGTCTTACTTTTGAGACTAAACTCCTGCAAGCATTTGGACAACGTGCAAGCTGTCAACGCAGACAGGATTTGAACCCTTGACCTTCTTCCTGTGAGGCAACAGTGCTAACTACCAGGCCTTCCCGCTGAAGACGTGATTAATGAATATTGATAATTTCAGCTTTTAAATCAACCTGTCCTGTCAAGATAATGTTGTTTTCTGGCCAAAGCCAGACAACTCTCTGCAAGTAACTCAACAGTATGTTTTTCTAAACAAGGTTTGTCTTTCAGACTTCTAAAAACTAGATGGTTAAGAAGGTAAAACCTTATTTCAAAAGCAGAGCACTTAGAGCTTGCTTTCAAAGCCTTCCTTATGACCTGAAGATGAAATGGAGGACAGTGAAATGCTAAACATCTTTAACATGAGCATTTATTTTACATATACCACAATTTTCCATTCTTACATTTTTTGTAACTTTAGAAAAACAAGGATTGATTTTTAAAGTGGCCAAACTGGAGCGACAGTGGCTTCAGGTATAGGAGTTTGCCCTGAAATGGAAGAGTTGACAGTTCAAGCCCCGGCTAAGGCTTTCAGTGGCACTGTGCACTTGGGCAAGACACTTCACCCGCATTGCCAGTAAACGGCAGACTGGCTCCTGTCAGTGAGCCCCAGCGCAGCTGTGGACAAAATGTAGCCGCCACCATCAGCGTATGGGTATGTGTGTGGGAATGGGTGAATGACTGAATATGGTGTAAAGCTCTTTGGTCAAGTCTTCTGAGTTTAAAAAGTCCTATATCAGTACAGGTCATTTAAAGTGGGACCTGAACCAGACCACAATTTCTGTGTCATTTTAACATGTTGTGTTTATGTATATTCGCACCCTGTGTCAATTGATCCTTAAGAACTGAAGCGCTTTTAATTGCTCGACCAACCTTTTCATATGTTCTAATTTTTTTCTCTTTTTGCTCATCCAAACCAACGAGAGTACTTCCAGTGACTTCTCTCCCTTTCTGTGCCCACATAACAATGCAGTTTTTTTAGATTTATATTTTCATTTTATTGTATTCTCTTTTTATTTTTGATAAATCTGGGATATATAAATGAATGGCATAAAATGGATTGCCCACACAGATATTATTTTATAGTGTTTTGAAAATTATGACAAGTAATGCTTTATTTAAGGTATATATATCAGGAGCACATCTACGCTATGTTGTGTCCGAATTATGCATTTTTATACTGTTGTAATACCAAAGGGTTCAAAAACTGAGAGACAGGAAACAGTTGTGTTTGAGTTTTGTGGTTTATTAGACTGTTATTTTAATGTTTATTTCAATCGTAACATAAATAGAGTGATACCTGTGTTCTTTTTCTAAATCATGTGTCTTTTCCATTAGGTTTCCGCCACAGATGGAGACCGAGGTTCTTTTGGGACCATTACCTACACCCTGGGCTCAAGCTCTGGAGGCACTGTTCCCTTTACCATTAACAAGGAGACGGGTCAGCTATGTACCAGTGCAACTCTCGACAGGGATGAGGGATTAGAGAAGTTTGAACTGGCTGTAACAGCAACAGATGGAGTAAGCCATTTTTACTATATAACTATTACATCTATAATAAAATACACTTGTTGTAATACAGTGTTTAAATCTAGAAATTCGATCCTATAAGGAAATATGATGAATGCCAATCTAGTACATACCTTTAAGGAGACCTCTTATGAAAAATTCAGTTTTTGCAAATTTTTGTACTTGTATTTGGGTCTTTAGCGCTACATTGCAAACACAAAAATAACAAAAAAAAAAAAAAAAAAAAAAACTACCATTCAGCCATTTTTTGGTGGTTTCCACATTGTGAGATTGGTGCAGCCAACTAAAACTTATGTCAATAAAAATGACACTTTAAACGGCTCATTCTGAAAGGAGCTCAAAATAGATGGAACCGAGGAGGTGAAATCTCATTATTTGAGAATGATTTTGTGCACATGTACTCATAAATCAGGGAAGTTGGCGAAACTTTCCAGATTTATGCGGGAAACCCCCTGATTTTTTATGCTATCTCCCGCTAATCTCCCAATTTTTCAGTGAAGGAAAAAGTAAGCTTGTGGGGGATATATGTCACAGTACCTGGCAACCCTAACCATAAAGCCTGCCAGAACACAAGAAAAAGAAGAAAGTTTTATTAGTTCAAATCGTACTCAAAAATCATTAATTGAATATCAGAGAACAATATTTTCACAATAAGGTTCCTTCATCAGGTTTAAAACACAAGGCTTGAAATAAGAAACACACTTACTCAGAGGGTTGATACCCCATTGAAATAAAATAAAAAACCTCCCTAGTTTTTAAAACCTAGTGTATATTTGTGTACTAAATGTGTTTCAGCCAACAGACCTATCCTAACATCTTTATAAGGCATCACAATAGGTCACAATGCTTTTGTAGCATCGGAACATTTCTTAAATTCTATTCGACATAATTCTATTCTTCAATTATACATAAATCAAGTCCCACAATCTTAAATTAATTTGAGGGACTACATTCGTCACTCTCTGTTAAGGAATCATTAGTTAAGGGATCATTCATAAGTGTCAAATAAGAGGGAGGATTTTTATGTTTCTCAGGTGCTCTTTTTTATTGCTAAAATGAAAACAGTAAAGACAATCTCAAAAGTGAATGTTCAAAATTATTTGCAAGCTAATAATCTTTTGAAGAAAAAATATAAAAATAAAATAAAATTCAGAGTGTCTTAACCAAGACATCTTTGCTCACTGCTCCAAAACTCTAACCAAAGAAAAAACCGAGTCCCTCACTGTGGTTCATAACCGGACTTTTGTTTTACTCACAGAATCAACTGGACCTCTACTCATGTGGTTCTCACACCTCCCGCTGGGGGGAAGATCTTGGCCCATACTGCTGTAATTTAGGATACTACAACTGGAATGCTCTTTGTTCTGGCTCATGTTGTTTCTTATCTTGGTGTTTCCTAACTTTGGTTTCAGAACTGTTTACCTGAGAGAAAATGGTTTTAAAGGAAGATAGAACGTAAAATGGAGCATAAATGTCAGGTGTTTAAGGGAATGCTTGAAGTCTTGCAGAACTTCACACATATATAGACAAATCCCTTTACCACAAATTAACATCATTGGTTGATTATTCCTGTTTTACTTGATCTGGTAATATCCATTTCTGTAGTTTTTGTTGAGCTCAGTTTCGGTCACAAAGAAAATTACTTTTTGAAAAAGAGTCAGTTGAGAAGGCCTTCAGCCAACCAGAGGTGGATGTAAGTTAATGTGAAGTCTATATAGTGTTAGATTGGACCATTTTTGTTCGTTCAATCATTTCAATCTTTTCAGGATCATTTTAATTCAATTTAACAACTTTCTGCGGAATACTTTTAATACTTTTTTTATGTTATAAGAAAATCAAAGCTGTGTTTGACTGTACTGAAATAAATCTGATCAAAGAGGAGCCCATGTCAGAACACGACATGCTGTTCCTTGCACTGTCTTGAAGAATCAAAAGAATCAGCAGGATGGCAAAGCAATCAGTAGAAGAAAGGAAATGCAGTAAAGGCTGGAGTCAAAGAAGCAAGAAGAAAGATACTTTAATGGTGCATGGTCATGTTATGCCCTTACAAAAAGGACCAAAAACCATTTGATCATAAAAAAAGAAAATTTTAATTATATACACTAATTGTCCATCCTAATATTGTTTTTTTTAGCCTGAATAAATTTCAAGTATTGGCACGTAGGACAGACAAAGACCTGTGCTGGCATCTGTTGGCTGTAAGTCAAAGCTATTAGAAAAGCCAGATGAAAATTTACACAGCTACCTAAAAGAGCCCACCCTACAATGCCTTGCATTAAAAAAAGCTTAGCGTGGTCCAAGACCAACCAATAGTAAGTAAAAAAACAGATCTACTGGAGCTCTGGTTAAAGCGAATCCTCCCTAGAGCTTCTAGGCAGGACGTCAAGGAAAAATAAAAATCATAAAGTCAAAGGTCATGGGATAAAACCTCTTTATTGGAATGAAAACAAAATGCACATCAATCTCACATCCATCCATTTTGCAGCAGCATCAGAATGCCTTTGAAGTTATTAACTGGCTTATCCCCATTACTATGTTGTAAACCCATTTAATACAGTGCTTTAGGGTTAATATCACAGAACGTATTTATTTGCAAACAAATTGAGCAAAAGCAAAGCTCTAAGAACGAATACACCCGCAGGACACTGTCATTCTTCAGAAAAACTTTGCATGCAACCAGAGTGGACTACTGGCTTTTAAATTGGAAGATATAATTACACTATTCCCATTTCAGTCAATGTATTCATGTAGCATTTCAGTATTAGATGCCACTCGTTACCTTGACCAGAAGCCCTTGAAAGAAGAGTTTTATTTCTTCTGGAGTTGTACATTTAAACTATTATTTAACCACCAGATCTAAACTGCATTTACTGTGTTATAATTCATTGAGCACAAACAAACTAATTTGCAGAAAAACTCAGACAGTTGACTGGCCCGATATTTAAATTACTTGCACATGTTTCTATCTTAAATGATCTTAAGTGAGAAACTATTGAATTTAATCCTTTGTTTTTTTTTTATGCAGGGTGGTTTAAGTTCTGTAACTCATGTGAGAGTCACGGTGGTGGACATTAATGACAACCGGCCCACCTTCTATCCAGTCCTGTACACGGTCAGTCTCAGCACTCACAGCGCCCCTGGTACCTCTGTGCTGAAGGTAACAGCCAACGACCCCGATGCTGGAGAAAACGGCAGAGTGACCTACCGCACAGCACCTGGAGGGGGCTCCACTTTCTTCACCCTCAACAAAGACACAGGTGATTTGAAAAACTTGTGCAAACTTGACAGCTTGCAAAGCTGGTCTACTAACCAGGAACCACATCAGTCACAGAAGGAAAAAAGAAAGTGCATTCCTTTTATCTTATATCTCTTCATTAATATGCAAAATAATGTTGATTTTGAGAATGTGCCAAACACTGGGAGGGGAATTTGCAAATGTAATCATAAAGGTTCCATAATGTAATTTATACATGCATGGAACTGATTACTGTTTGAAAGGCAGCTGCAATCTGAGGTATATGGCAAAAAAGAGGAATAGGTACAATAATATACAACACAGAAAATTAATCTTCTCTTGTGTTTATAATATGTTTGGACTGTCAAAAATAAATATAGTAGATTGATAATTATACATTCTAGGATTGCATTTTTGAGCTGCTAAGCTATGCCATGTCTCCTATGGAAAAGCTCCTTTCAACACCCTATTTTGCATATATGCATTCATCCAATAAGAAACATAAAACCAGTTATAATAAACATAATACACAATCAGCTGATACATCTCACTTCAGAATAGTAGATGAGGATCAACAAATTCCATTTCCTTTCATTTTAATTTAAATACCAATAAAATTATTTCCAGCCTTCAGCAGTGTTTTTAAGATGTCTGCAATAAGAATGAAATAATAACACTTTTTAAACATTTTTCACTTTTTAGGTGTGATTTCTTTGTCCCGTTCCCTTCATGGCAAAGCCAACACCATTATTTCCATGGAGATTTCAGCTGAGGATGGTAGCGGCCTGAAGGCACCAGTAAATGCCAGAGTGAACGTGAGCGTGGTTGGAGGCTCTGTTGCGTCCCCTATTTTTGAACAAGCACAGTATTTCTTCACTGTGTCAGAGGATGTTCTCAGGGGGACAGCGGTGGGAGTGGTCCATGCTGCAACAAAAACAGGTATGAATGCTGTTAATTAATAACTCACTTGTGTAACAAGTACGAAACAAAGAAGAAATATCTGGGATACTTGAAATTAATTATATACTTTCATTGTGTATTTATTAACAAAACCACTACTAAGTTACTACTAAACTGCACAGGACTTAAATCGGGGTTCTTCAACGTTTTCCAGGCCAAGGACCCTTCCAGGCCCCTAATTATATATATTGTATGAAATTGTGTTATATCATACTGGTCCTATAGTCTATTACAGATGGAGTCATGTAAAGAAAGTAATTTCTCCCTGGGATTATTAAAGTATTTCTGATTCTGATTCTTGGTTGATGGGACAGGTGTTGTGAATGAAACGGTGCCCAGGTTGAAAGAGTTCCTGTGTGTTGCTGAATGTGAGCATTGATGACTGAAAGACATCTTCTGCCTCGATTTATCTGTTTACTACAGTGTGTTGAATTAGTGTTAATGTGACAAAAAGAAAAATTAAAGGTTGAAATATAAAAAAAATTCTAATTAACCAAAACTTTCGAGACCCCCATACAGTAGAGAGAGAGAGGGAGGGGGAGAGGGAGAGAGAGAAGAGAGAGACAGTACTGTTAGTCCAAAATCTAGTTTAGAAGTTGCCTTTTTTCTGTTATTTAGAAATGAAACATTTATGCATTGACACTGAAAGTGGTACGTTCTATTGCCTGAAATACTGTTGACCCCTACTTTCTTCAGAAGTGCACTTTATCTCTTTCTGTTATTTGTTGTTTTCTTTTAAGAGTTCTTGGCATTTTTGTTTTTTATTTACAGAAATCATAGATGAAAAGGGCAGAAAAGGTCATCAGTGTTAGGAGTTGAACAGCGACATTACCCATGCATCAAGCACCGGCTGAGATTTGAGGGTTGCCCATCATATATCAATAGTTTTTAAATCATTTATTTAAAAAATTTAAATCTAAAAAGGTCTTAGATACCTTGAAATCCAAACATGCAAACCCTGCAAGCAACTGTGTTTTTTATTTACTGCTTCCCTAAAATTTCTAATCTATAAAAAAATTCTCACTGATGAGACCAATTTAGCTGCTTTTAAAAACAAAGCTTTACACTTTGGTTCTTGGATCAATTCCAGCTTGATATATCTTAGATTTTCTTAGTTTTCTGTGTGTGTTTTAAACTCTTGGATTAATATGCCTTTCATGTGCTTTTACTCCTTTTATGAGAAGACTTTTATAGTTCTTTCATTGTAGCACTTTAGTATAACTTGCTTGTGAAAAAAAGAGGCTTTATAAATAAAATTGGCGTTGAGACTTAACATGTCTTTTCTCTTTTTTTTTTAGGTGTTTCTAAAGGCATCTTATACTCCATTTCTTCCGGAGACCCTGATGGCTACTTCACAGTGGACAGCACCTCTGGCACCATTCGAACAGCTCTGCCTCTTGACCATGAAACCTGCTCCAGTCTGAACCTAGATATCCAGGCACGCTTTGGTTCTCCCCCAGCCTATGCAACCAGCCGTGTTCGTATAACTATTTCAGATGTCAATGACAACGCCCCCGCATTCCTTCCCTCTTCATCTGAGTCCCTCCTGTTGCCTGAAATAACCAAAATGGGCTCAGTAATATACCGAATCCAGGCCACAGACAAAGACTCTGGTCACAATGGACATCTGAGCTTTGACCTCATCTCTGCGGGGGCTGCGGGCAGCAGCGGCCAAAGGACATTTGGCGTAGACCGTGGTAGTGGGGAGGTACGACTGATTGGAAGTCTTTCTTATGAGTCTGTTCCACGCTATGATCTTCAGGTGGTGGCGAAGGATGGTGGAGCGCCGCAGCTTAGTTCCACTTTTACTCTTGTGGTCCATATCCAAGCACAGGATGCACAAGGCCCCACCTTTGACACCCTCACCTACAGAGTGGAGCTCCGGGAGAACACGCCTCTCAACACACGTTTCCTGCAGGTTCGAGCACTCAACAGAGAGTCATCAGGGAATACTGGAAGCACCCCGTCTTCGTCCTCCTATATTTCCTACCGTCTGAGGCCTGATGGTGATGCAGCTGGATTTGGCATCATGCCAGACACTGGATGGCTGTTTGTTCGTAGTTCTCTGGACAGAGAGGTCAAAGATATGTACCTGTTGACAGTCTTGGCTACATCAGGCCCAGGCGGAGCGGGCAGGACCGGCAGTGCCACTGTCAGGGTGTCTGTAACGGATGAGAATGATAATTCCCCGAGGCTGAGCCAGGAGAGGGTGTTCCTTGCTGTCAGAGAGAACTTAATGGCAGGGTCCGGCTTTGGGAGAGTTTCTGCAACAGACAGAGATGCAGGACTAAATGCTCGACTCACATACAAACTTCTCCACTCAGACAGACACTTTCAGATCAACTCACAAACAGGTAACTAAAAATACCATGAGGAATTTAAGCAACAGTTTAATTTGACATTTTTAATAGGATTACAAGGAAATAAATATTACTGAGTGTTAAAGCAATAGCATATTAAATGCTGCATAATTTTCTTCCAGGACCTAATGATCTGCTGTCTCTTAATTAAAGTATTCAATTTTGCTCTTTTCAATTTTCTGTCTGGCTCTAGGGGAGATCAGCACCCGCCTCGCTCTGGACAGAGAGCAGCAGTCAAGCTATCAGCTTATCGTGGTGGTGCAGGATGGGGGCACTCCTCCGCGCAGCACCACAGGCACTGCTCACATCACCGTACTGGATGAAAATGACAACGCCCCCAATTTCACTCATGCCAGGCCTGAAAGAGAGCTGCTGCTTCAGGTGAGAACTGATGGAGCTAGATCTGTCAACGAGGGATATTACTACATCAGGAGGAAATCTACATACAAAATACCTTTAATTTCAACTGATGTCAACAAGGGATGTCCCTCTCAGACTATGTTGTCCCTAATGCCAATAAATTTATTAAATTTAGAAAAATATTGAGTTTTAATCCAAACAATTTTCAAATTGGTACCATATAACTTTGGCTGGAAACTCACTTTTCATCAGAATCACACTCCCAAAACGTTATGAATGTGTTGCTCCTGCTCAAAATTATTTAAACAGGAGACTGTGCTTGAAGGGTTAACTTGCTTAACCTTAGTTCTATAGATTTTTCTGCTCTTAACTTGTAGTTTCCTTGCCTGGTACTTCTTGGCCAGGTTGTCATTAGAAATAAGAGTTAGGTCTCTGCTGCCATACCTGGTGAATCAAGGCATTAAATAGGAAAAAAAAAAAAATACATCTTTTATAGCACTTATTGAGCTGGTGAAGATCCTCTACTTTTTGATCATTTAGTTCATAATATATTTAATTGTGGGTCAGGGAAAGGATTGACTGCATGTCTATAGTCATCCAGGCGAAGAAAGAGGTGAGTCGAAATTCATATTTGATTTAGGTTGTCATCAAAAGAACAAGCACACAAGCAGATTCATCTAGGATCGAGATTCTTGTCTGCACGACCAAGACTAGCCATTCATGCTAATAACCTCTTCAATCTGCAACTTTATTGCAATCTAGCAAATACAAAGAGTTACGGTCTTCCTCAATTAAGGTGTAAAAGACATATTTGGAAAACTGCTGTGTGGAGGCAAATACCTTTTTTTAGAACATTGATGTTGATTTGAAACAAATATTGTATCTTGATGTGTTTTGGACATCCATTTGTTTCATTGAAAGTTTTTTGTCTGTAATAGGACTCCATTTACTGTATATTGCTCAAACTCTTGCATGCTTGTCCTTTTCCTTTTTTTCCTTCTGTACAGATATATAGATAACAGTCATGCAAAAAGTCAAATGTTTTAAATGACTTTTGACATTTTATCTTCCAGCTAATCATTGATACGAATGACCTTTTTTAGAATCTACTGTATGCACATAAAAGAATGCCATAGCAGAAAGTGTTTGGACGGAAGTTCTGTTCGTAATTTTATGTTTTTGTGTTGCAGGTGCCAGAGGGTCTACCATCAGGGACTGTGGTAGGAACTCTGTCAGCTAAAGATGCTGATGAGGGGGAGAACGGTACACTGCACTACTCTTTATCAGGTAATTCCATCCCGATCAAACATAGATCCAGCTAGAGGCATGGAGATAGGAAAGTTGCGCCATCACAAGACCAAGCAAGTTAAGTTGCTAGGGCGTCCATTTGTTCAGCCCATTAAAAATATAGCTGTGACAGATTGATTCTTTGGTAATTATTTCACATAGCACACAATCAATACCAAAACATTTCTAATTAAGAGTTTGTACTCAGTATTATATTTTTGTTGTTAGCCATATGCAATAGAGCCTGTTCAGACATATTCAGTTGACTCCTATGTAATGTCCACAGATGTTAACATTTTGTTTTAATGATCAAAGATGAGTAGAGCAACCTAAAAATCATTTCCTAGTAACATAATGAGTTTTAAGTATATGTGGATGTAGTCCTACAAATTCTTACCTTTTTACATTTGTATTTATGTTATGCATATCACAAATAAACTGTCTGTTTTAGCCATCTCAAGCATCTTTGTTTTCATTAGGTAATGCTATGTAGAGGTAGAGAACATGAGTCGCTGAGAACATGAGCAACAGCGACTCCATGAGTCGCTGTTGCTCTTTGATACGTTTACCATTGATATGTTTACCAAGTTCACCAATGGATTTGTCAAAATAATTTTATCTCTATGGCTTTTGTTCCAAAAATGTGATTACTGCTCAGTAACTCTAGAATCTAGACATTCTAGAGTTACTGAGCAGTAATCACATTTTTAATTTCGACTTTATCTGTTTGAACTTCTTAAGGTCCCAGAGCAGAGCGTTTCTCCTTGAACCCCACCAGTGGCGAGCTGAGAACTGCTTCCCCTCTACGTTGGGCTGAGCGAGCTGAGTACAGATATACAGTGACCGCCACTGACCACGGCACTCCAGGCCTCAGCTCAACCTGCCAAATCCGAATACAAGTAAATATAACATTTATTGATCACAGTCGGAATCCTTTCAAGTCAAATGGGGGACTAAAGATCTATGTGGTGTGTTGACTTTCACAGTTTACCTCTTGCTTTTTGCTTTACTTGCTATAGCTTTGACATTTTTTGCACCATATAACTATCAGAACAAATAGAAAATGAGTTATATGAGTAGGAGTGAAGCTGAACCCTTGCCTGTGTAAATAAAAGCATGTATCGAATCTAGTATGCGTTTCCTGATCCAGAGGTCATGGGGTAACCAAAGCCCACAGTGAGAGGGTGACTCTGCGCACAGGGAGTGTGCCGGCCAGGACTGATTTTCTTAATGCTCTGCAATGAAGGTCAAGCTCGAGTATCAACACACAATATCAGGAATTTAACTGCAGGAGAAAAATGTCCAAGGAAAGGGCGGCGGTGGCTTTCTTTCACTGTAGAGCAGGGAGCTCTTTGTTTTTTTGCCTGATATGATTTCAGAAAGGAAAAGGATGCTAATTGCAGCAGGATTGCTTGCCTCAGATTTCACTTGTACGCTCTTTGTGTGACAGTGTGATTAGACAGAGGGGAAACAGGCACCTTGGAATCAAACGCTCCCAGATGAGATTTGATGAGAGCCAGCTGCAGTGAATCATAAAAACAAAACGGCGTTGCACACCACTGTACAGTAGCAGGGTGCAACACATGTATGTATACTAAAACACTTGTTTTGGATGAGGTAAAATGTTAAGTTTACTGATTTTTGAGAAAAAAAATATGTGGATAAAATCAGAAATGGTGATATTGTTTGTTATTTTTTTGTTTTTTGCTGTGAGTAAAATTATTTGACATCCTACTTAGAAAAAGGAACAAGAGTAAAAGCACTGCTATAAAAATAAATGAGATCTGTTTAGCACTTTTAAGCCTGATCTGAGTCATTGTACACAGAAAACAGTTCCTTCTCATCTTCTAATAGCCCCATAAAGAAGATGCTGTTCCCCCAATGACAATTTTCCCCATAGGTGTATGAAAAAATAAACTAACAAACAAAAAGCCTCCCAGTATATGTATATATGTATACTGTCTAATCTAATTTCATGCTGTTGTACATTAACTGCAACCATGCTCTTCATATAAAACCTGCATTTGTAAATTCTATATATTTCTATTCACGTTTTTTTTTTTTTTTTCATGTAAGCTGCATGTTTGCTTGCCTAAGTCTAACACCTCATCACCAAAGCAAATTCCTCGTATATGTAAAAGAAATTCTTGTTAACAGCATTTCTGATTCTGGTTTTGTCTGAGTGAGACATTTAAGCAACAAAAAAATTAATCAGTTTACCAGAAAAAAAATTATCTTATCAGTGACACCCAGCCTCTACAGATGTTTTTCTCCTCAGCACAATCTGAGGTATGTGGCTGTTGGTTATTGCTCTGCTTTATTTGAAATGATGTATTTTGCAATTTCCCATCAAAACTTTTATTCTAGTGTATTACTTTACAGACCTTGGGCTCCCTGGATGAAATTGGATTGCAGCAGTGTTGGGATATTTGTATGGAAAGAATGTATAATGCCCAATGAGAAAGCCCAAAAGTGTTTTTTTTTTTTTTTTTTTTTGCAGCAGTGTTGGGATATTTGTATGGAAAGAATGTATAATGCCCAATGAGAAAGCCCAAAAGTGTTTTTTTTTTTTTTTATTGAAAGTAATCATAGAAAAATCTCAGTAGTACAGCTGAAGTTCAAGTTTAGCGATTTAAGCCTGAGATCTTTCTACACCACCTTCTGACTATTAAAAGAAACCTAGCCTTGTTACATACAACAGACTTTGCCTTGATGGTTTTCTCTCATGCATCATTTAAATGATACATTGAATTATTTCAGTGTGCTTTGGCTCACCCTCGGTTGATTTGGTGAAAGAGTTCAGTGTGAACAGTATTTGAACCACCAATGTTTGTTTCTAAAAGTGACCACAAATGGTAGAGAAAAACTGAAGCTGTTTGATTTAATTTTCTTTTCTTTTTATTTCAGGTTCTCAGCAACGCCAGGTCATCCCCAACACCCAATGTCAAATCTATGACCCTGAACACTGTTGAAGGCACTGCTCCCGGCTCCATTATCGGCACGTTACGCCCACCTGGCCATCAGGATTCTGCTGTGCAGGATGGCCAGGTGACCTACCTGGTAGTGGGAGGGACCGACCGGGACGGGACTTTCATGGTGGACCGTCTGGAGGGCCATGTGTACCTGGTGCGCGAGCTGGACTATGAGAAGGGCTCCAGATACACTCTGCACGTCGAGGTGACAGATTTCTCTCAAGCATTTCCAAGCAGCCACCTGGTCAAGCTGGACATCAATGTGAAGGATAGCAATGACCATGCCCCTGAGTTTTCAGAGGACCCAGTGACTATTGTGATCTCAGAAAACACAGAGCCGGGGGCTTCAATACACACTTTCCAGGCTGTGGATAGGGTAAGAAACAAAGATTTGAGCAGTACAATGATTTTTAAAAGTCTGTTCCATTTGTATTGTGATTCCATAGAAATAAATTTCTTTCTTACCTTATAAAGCATCCCTTGGCTGTAGTTCTGGCCTCTGAACTTTCTCTGTTTAATGCTACTAAATAATTATGTCACACTCTTTCTTAGTTGCAAGGTATTTTCACATTTGAAAAATCCATGCAAAAAGTTAATCATCAAGGTCCTGTGAAAACGAAATAGTCATCATCAAATGTTTTTTGTATCAATTTTAATCTGTTCTGTTTAAAGAGCTCTTCTGTGATCATAATAATAATAATAATCAGGACAGGGTGGCTACTTTGGCCTCAAAATCTCAGCAGATCTACAATATTTACATGGATGCGCAAAAGAGGAGCAAAATATCTATTTTTTTTTTTTTTTTTCCTTTATTTAACCAGGTAAACCCCCATTGAGATCTGGATCTCATTTTCAAGGGGGACCTGGGCAGAGATCAGCATTACATCTATGCAAAGTGGCAAAGCTCAAAGTACGTTAGCCCTAAAACTACGTTAGAAATCTGTTATATTCATATGGAATAAGAAAAAACCCAAACAAAACACAAAATATTGTGACATTTTTTCTTATAAGAAGCAAAGACAAGTTGTAGGTCTGGGTTAATTGAGGAAAACTGATGTTTCGCAAAATAAATAATTATACACAGAAGACAAATTCAGAAAAGGCTTTAGTTCACTTACCAAACGAGAATCATTTCAGCCGTCAGCTTAAGGGGAAGACTGTTGTTCTGGGCAGCAAAATATCCCACAAATGGAACATTTCTGCATTAAAATTGATGTGAGATTCAGTTGCAACCCCTGATTCTGTGCACTTTCAGTGGCCTCCCTCACCTGTGACCCTCTCTATCATTCTTCGCTGCATAAATCTCAGTCTTTCCCTACTTCTTATCCCTCACTTTTTTGCCACAGAAACTGTAAATGTGTATACTTTTAATTTTCCTTTTCGTTGTCATCTGCAATATGAAAGCTACAAGATTTATAATAATTAGCCCACTTATTACAACAAGTCCATAGCAATATCAGACCAAATTATAATTATCACATCCCCACAGGTCACACAAGCAGTTCTGTTTTGAAATATAGTTCTCTTGGAAGCCAATGATTATTATTATATGATAAAATGTTGTAAAAGTATTTATTAAAGGCAGACCAAATCATATTCCACTGAAGCAATTATCACAGACCTGGTTGTGTGGCAGGGATATAAATCATTTTGTCATTACCAGCCTGTGACAATTACACAATAAATAAATAGAAATACAATCAAGAGAAAATGGTAGATGTTACAGTTTTATTTTAAAAAGTTGATGCTTTGCACAAATAATTTTTATTTTAAAAGAAGCTATATAGTTAATTCATTGGTTCGCTGAATAATAATCAGGATATAACTTATTTAGCTACTGTATAGCCAAGGTCCAAAGAGAATCTAGAAAGCTGTTGACAAAGAGTGACGAACTATTGGTCAAGGTCACTCCTTGGAAACAAAAGATGAGGGAATTTGAAACTATTTAAAGAACCTGCAGATGATGTCATCACAATCAGCCTTAACCTTTTGTTTTTCACAGGATGGAAGTGGACCAAACAGTGAGCTACGTTACTCTATTGAGCATTGCTGGCCTGACACCCCTGACCTCCTGGTCCTTGACCCACTAAGCGGGGTCCTTACTTTGGGGCAGAAGTTAGACCGTGAGTCTACGGCCTCCCTCTACCTTGTGGTACGAGCCACTGACCAAGCAGTAGATCCCTCTCAGAAGGGCTCAGTCACAGCTCGGCTGTATGTGACGGATGAAAATGACAACGCTCCAACATTTAGCTCTCCGTCTGCTGTCAGTGTCATGGAGGATCAGCCTGTAGGGTGAGAGTCAGATCACATTTTTTTTTTTTTTTTTATAGTGGCTTTGGTGACTTTTTTCCCTTGTTCATTCTTCTCAAATGATGAGATTTATTGCTCGGCTAAAACACTAAAGTTACTCCTTTGTTTTTGTCATATTTTGTTTTGTTTTCACCAACAGGTTTGTGATTTTGTACGTGGTAGCACAGGATAAAGATGAAGGAGAGAATGGCAGAGTATCCTACAGAATCCAAGCAGGCAACAATGCTGGTCGCTTCACTCTTAATCCTAATACAGGTACAGTTACTTTATTTAAGTAATTTTAAGTAACTAAGTTTTTACTGAAAAATCTTTACTATAGCCTTTTTATTTGACTCAACTAAAACATTGTTTGATGAGCAGAGTGACACCTCAGTACTTCAGCGCCGATGCATCTGCGCTGTTTCTGCATATGTGATGTCCTGCGTGTCCATGTTAAATTGGGGCAATCTTGCAAGCAAGTGTTACATTCAAAGTAGGTTTTTTGGATGCTCAGAACCCACTGGTATCTAGCTTTGCTCACACACCAATTGCAACTCCATGTAAGGTAAAAAAAAAAAAAATGTAAATAAAAAAACAAGCAAAGAAAATATTTCAAGTATGAGCACAAGCTGTGAGAGGAGTGCTGCAGTTCTGTGTTTTGGCCACAGGTAGCAGCATCCTTCGGTAATGCTTCTTTTAGTATCAGCCATCTGATTCAAATAAAAAAGTACTCTAAAGGGAAAAGTACAATTCCAGTGACGATTATGGTTATTTATATACGTCTAATCTAGTGAAATTCAGTTCATTTATCATCGTATAACTTGCTTTAAAACAGCAAACATTTAAAGTAAGGTTAATAACTTAAAAAAATGCAAAAATGAAGAATCTTCCTTTCAACTTTACTTTAACAGAATGCTTTTATGGATATGATGAAACCTGTGCATAATCGCCATGGATATGGATGAGCAACACTTTCCAGTAGACAAAAAATGAAACACATCTGAACTGCTTAAGTGCTTAAACTCTCATAGCTTTCTTTAATAGGCGATCGCTCAATCCCCTGGAGAAAAGTTTTTCATCCGCACCCATTTTCTCATGTTGTATTAAAGGATTTTTTCATGAGAAATAATCTTTATTCTGGCTTTTAGAATGTAAAATAGGAATTATAGACTTTCAGACTCAGTTGCCTCATATCTGAGGCTGGGTACTAGCAGCATAGTGGGCCTATACTCTGACTGGGATTACGAACCATATAACAGACACCTAATGCAGCTTCCAGATGGAAGAAAGACTTAACGTCATTAGAGTCTGCTGGGCTGGTTTCACTTCTGAGTTCAGTGGCATTAAGTCTGGAGTTATGATGAGATGTAATGGCAGATTAACACACATTGTGAAGAGGTTTGCCAAACTTACTGGCTGATCTAGGAGGTATCATTAGACTGATTACTGCTTATAAACGGCCAACTTTGTGCCACAATCTGTTACTTAAGTTTTACAGCACGTTTTATGAAGTGCTCAAAAAGGTTTCTCCTAAATCATTTTTCGCATGAAGCTATTTATGGTTGATTTGTTAGAAAATATCTATTTTTAAAGAGTAGTTTATCTTGCATCAGATTCCAACACTTAAGGAAATACTTTATAACTACAAACTCAGGCTAACTTAATTGTTAGTGTTTTATAAATGGTTTTTAAATACTATAAATAAAAAGTGAAAAAAGGGCCCAAAAAACTAAGTTTGTGACCTATTTAAACACACAGTTTTCCTGTTTCTGCCTCTTAACTGAAACAGCCAAGACCCCCCGAGACGTCGGAGTCTCAGAGCTCAAACAAGAAGTTAGCACACAGTGTATCTTTGGCATACTGTGGCATTTATAAATTACACGTTTCTTAAGCGCTGCAGCTTAACTTTGTACGCTGCTGTGTAAAGTACAAACACACACATGCATGCATCTATTTCATGTTTCCTCTCACTTTGGCTGACCTTCCTCGTAGTTGGTTGGATGACAGCAGGGCTGTGGGATGGAGAAAAGTGAGGAGTAAAATAGCCAGACTCTGCTAACACTGGTTGTAATTCACTGATCTTCGGTTCATATGCATCAAATACATTCATACACCAGTTGGTGTCTTACAGATTTAAAGACTATGTAGTATGAAAGCAGATTTAAGTGAATAAGGATCTGTAGAAAACCTGTAAGCATTATAAAACTTTAAGGTGAAGTAATACTTTTTAAAGAGTCCTAATAAACTATTCTATGCAATGTTTTGGTTTCAGGCTCTCTCTCCATCCTTAAAGTCTTGGACCGGGAAGAGCAGGAGGCCTTTAACCTAACAATCATAGCAGAGGATCATGGAGTACCACCGCTCTCCACCTCCCAGCTGTTGTGTGTGCAGGTGATAGACGTCAACGACGAATCTCCAGTGTTTCAGCAGCCAGAGTTCAACGCCCAAGTGATGGAAAATCAAGGACCAGGAACCACAGTGTTCACTGTAACAGCCACAGATCGTGATCAAGGTTTGCTTCAATAGATTCCTGAAAACAAAGCAGAGGAACCTGTTAAAATGCTGCATTTTCATAATGGAGAAACAGGCACATGTTTCAAATATAGTAATGTGTAGATACTAAATGAATGAAAGGTGTTTAGTTACACAGATATAGCAATTAAAGGGATTGTTTTTATCAGAATTAAAAAAAAAACCTACATATTCCTTTAACTCCCATGTTTTGTAATTTTGTTTTATTTGAAATGCTTTTTGAATTCAGCCCTTGAGAGTAAATACTTGGCAAAGACAGCTGAAAGACTTTATGGGCAACGCTGGGCAGCTGCATTGGGGTAGACCATTTTATAGTTACCCCTGTACTTGATACAAACACCTCAAATTCATATCCTGACCCTGAGACCTTTCCTGACTGTCTACCCCTCTCTTTCCAACCTCTTTCCTGTCTGCCTCCCATCAAATAAAACCCACTAGTGCAACAAAACTTAAAGAAAAAGTTATTTGGGTGGCGTTTCTACAAGGTTTGCATATAAAGAGACTGGGAATTTGATCAATTTTTCTTTGCAAATTGGATTAAGTTCTTTCAGATGGGATTCAGCCTGTAGGCATGTGGTTTGTAACAGAATTACATCTGACCCACAAGATTATTTCAGATATTGATTATTAATGAACCAATAGAGGGTAACAAAGCACCCAATCCAATCAACACTGTTTTTCTATAACACACCATGGCGGCAACTTGCAGCTCCAATAGATGGAGATATGTAATCTGAACACATCCAGAGGAAACATGTCGAACTGAACTGCATCAGCTCACTAAAGTATGAGTTTCACAGTTTTTGCCCTTTTTTTAAAAGACAGTTTCAAGTTTATTGCCAATTGTAAAGCCAAGCTGCTACCTGGTTCAGTAAGTGTTTCTCAGCAATAAAGACGGACGGTGGTAAAGCTGTCTTATTGATGGACAAAGCCCAAAATGAATTTTGACAGCTCATTATAATAAACATTATTTAAGCTTTTGTCAAAAACATTGGTGGAAAAAGCATAATATGTAGTTCAATTTCATTGTTGTTTGCCAAGATACGAATCGTCCCCATGTTTCATAGTGGGAGTGATTGTTTAGCCAATTGTGTAGGGTTTGTTTTCTGCACACATACCATTGTGTTGGATTAAAAAAGAACATTTTGGTCCCATCAGACCAGAGCAGTTTCTTTTTTATGTTGTGTCTCTTCTAGGGCTGTAAAAAGACATTTTTTGCTCAATAATTGCATCAACGGATAAATAACCCTCAACTAGGCTTTATGTTTTTTTTGAAGAAAATGGCTTCTAAACATAGCTGCCTTTATTTTTAGGTGATTTTAGATAATAGATGAACCTTCAAAACCTTTATAAAACATCATATCTTCTTCCTACATTGGTTTAACACAAAAATAAAAAAATAAAAACTCTAAAGCTTGTATTTAAAATGGAAAACTATAGATATATTTAAGGACTATGAGTGAACATGTGGCCAATACATTGCAAAAACAATATAGAAAGAAGTGAGAAATTCTTAAAATAAGTGTATTAAGCCTTTATTTTAGTAGCTAAATCTGATGATTTGCCAATGGAATCAGTATTTTTACTCTTCAAATAAGAAAATCTGATATTATTCACTTGAAATAAGACAATGCAATTACTTTTTCTTATTTTAAATGTTAATTGTCTTGTTCCATTGGCAAAGTGTCTCACTTACCTCCTCAATTCTAGAAAAAATGACTTATTTTAAGAAGAAATTACTTATTGAGACTTATTGAGCCTTGTATTTGTTAATGCTTCTGGAGTAATGCTTGGTTTTCTTTTTAAACTTTGATACCAGGTTCTAATGGTCAAATAACATATGGAGGTGTGACAGAGGAGGGTTTTGTGATCAATCCTTCAACTGGAGTCATCACCACCACAAAAGAACTTGACACAGAAGTTCAGGATCATTACACACTTACTGGTACACTAAACACATGGTTGTACATCATTTAAGTTGGTTTATCATGCAGAAAAAACTCACCATTCAGTAAACCCTCTGTTTAGTGTATGCCAGAGATGGAGGGCTGCCTCCGAATTTTGCCAAGGCCGTGGTCCGTGTGGAGATACAAGACATGAACGATAACGGCCCCATCTTTGCGAAGTCATCTTATGAACTCGAAGTGCCAGAAAACCAGGGCCCTGTGGAACTTTGCTTTATCAAGGCCACAGATCCAGACTCGGGTCCCGGTGGAGAACTGGAGTACAGAATCACTGGTGAGAGCAAGCATGCTGTTTCTGATCACTGATTCAAATGATTTTTTCTACTAGCAGGCTAATTACTGTACATTCCTTTAGTTGTGTTGATTTGATAACAGTAAGTTTTACCATTTTTAATTTTTTTGTTTGTCATGCTCGAACTTATCAAGGTAATTTTTATGTCACTGTAATCCAACACTTTTAGACTGCAGTCACAAAACCATCCTAAACTTCTCAATGTTTAAAAGCCTGCTGATGCAAATTTGGAACGTACCAATAAACATCTTGGAAACTCTTTGCTGCCATCTGGTGTTCATTGTATGGACTTTTTTCCACAATGAAAAACCATAACTGGCAAGAATTTCCTAAGCAGAAATATATGTTATAAGTCCATGTAGCACAAGTATCAGCACTAATATAAATAAAATACAATTAGACTGGTAATGTGTTTATATGATATTAAGCCTTATTGTACATAATATAATTTAATTGCATCATATCTAGATTTTTATATCACTTATATATGATACATTCAAATAAACTATCTAAAAACCTATTATATTTGGAAATGGAACAAGGGAAGAAAGCACAGTTCCTTCTTTTTTATATGATTGTAAAGCTGGAAACATTTTTCCTCATATCTGATCATAAAGTTAATGAGGATTTAGTTTAATCTTACATTTTTAATTAGTATGCACATTTTTTGAAGTCACACACTCATTATGTAGAAAATCTTCACAACAGAAAGACCACTGACTCGCCTGGGTTATTTCATGGTCAAAAGTAGAAGGAAAGAAAATAATGTTTTTTTTTGTTTTGTTTTTTCTGTATCATCTTTGCAGAGGGGGACCCTGATGGAGCTTTGCAACTCCACCCCAACACAGGGGCCCTCTCCACGTCACGTGGACTTGACAGAGAGACAAAAGCAAACTATAACTTGAAGGTGGTGGCCACAGATCACGGGAGCCCCCCTCTTAGTGCTACTGTCACAGTTAACCTTAAAGTGTTAGACGTCAATGACAACAGCCCTGTTTTTAAAAGAAACAGCTACAACGTGGAAGTCTCTGAGGATGCTGCTAAGGGTTTTCAAGTTCTTCAGGTGAGCCAGATATTCAAAGGGTAATGAGAGCTTTAAATAAGCACACAGTTTACATTTTGATGAATATTATATTTCCTTGTCTTTCTTAGGTGTCAGCAACAGATGCTGATGATGACCTTAATGGGAAGGTCCTGTATTTTCTCAGCCATGAAGCACATGGAGCCTTCGCTGTTGATGAGGAGAGAGGTGTTATCACCACCTCAGCGCCTCTTGACCGGGAAAAAACTGCATCTTACAGCTTCCAGGTGTTTGCTGTTGACCTTTCCCCTGCTGCTCCCAAAAATTCTTCTGCTCAGGTAAAAAGGAGTGATGGTGGCAAATTGCTCGACTTACATAGTGGTTTCATTCTCCTAACTGATGGTACGTCTACCTACCTACAGGTGACCGTAACAATACTTGACGTCAACGATAACGCCCCCTTCTTCATACAAGACCCTTTGATCATCGAAGTGTCCAGCAGGCGTTCACAGCGCGTTTTAGCCACCATGAAGGCTGAGGATAAAGATTTTGGTGCCAACGGTTCCGTGTTTTATCGCTTTGCCACATCTGTGAGGGGCTTCAGCATCAACTCGCTCACAGGGGAGATCCAGGCCACCGAGCCGCTAAGGGACCTGACCCAGGCTCAGAGGACCTTGATAGTGGAAGCCATGGATCAAGGCAGCCCGGCCCAGTCTGCACAGGGGGTAGTGGTGATTTATGTAAAGGAAGTAGAATACAACGGCATTCGATTCTCAAGGAATGCTCGAGATGTCAGCTTACAGGAAAATGCTGAAAAAGGTTCGAGAGCAATGTTCAGTTTAGAGAATCATATTATTTCTCAGTTTATTTGTTCTAATAACTAAGGATTCAGGCTTTAAATTCCAGGCACAGCAGTGGCTCAGGCTCAGGCCCAGTATCCAGATGGCACACGGAAGGGGATCAGCTATAGTCTCTTTAGTGGAAACAGAAAGCAGGCTTTCAGTATCAGCTCCTCAACAGGTGAGAATTTCCACTTTTGTAGAGACGTGATGATGTGCAAAGCAATGCCAGTTTGATGACCTTCCCCATCCTTTTGTTCAGTAAGCATTTCCATCTCCCATCTGCCCTGCAGGTGAAATCTGGGTGCAGAGCTCCCAAGGACTAGACTTTGAGGACAGTCCCCGACTCCGTCTTGTAGTGAAAGCTGAAACGGTGTCATCCACTTCGTTCATGGCCATTAATTTGGTCCTTCAGGATGTCAATGACAACCAGCCTCGCTTCCAGCTGCAGAACTATGTTGCTTACATGAAAGAAGCACAAGGATATGAAATGCCAATTATACAGGTGTCCAAAATTCCCAAAAGATTGCCTAACATTATTGTTCTACACTGACTGTTTCAGAGGCTAAATTAGATTATTGAATATTTTTTCCTTACCTAAATCTTTTCAAAAGGTGCTGGCTGAAGACGTGGACCAAGGCCAAAATGGTCAGGTGACATACTCCATCCAGTCCTCAAGCATGAGTGGCCTGTTTAAGATTGATCCAGTGACAGGAAGCATCACCACAGCTGCCATCATGGACAGGGAGATCTTTACAACAACCAAGTGAGAGAAAAAAAAAGCACTTTAGATAAACATCCATGAAAGGATAGAATCTTTTAACAATATATATTAAAATTGAACAATACATTTATTTTCTCTGTCAGTGCGTTACTAATTTTGGAATATCACACATCTCATTGCTGACAAGACTCTTTAGATTAAATCGTTGTGTCATGTCCTGGGTATAGCAAGTTGGATAGACCTCCCTGTAAAATTGACCTGCCTGAGGTCAGTTCAATTCAAAAATACTTTACTAACTACAAAGGGAAATTAAATATTTCAGTAACCTATGGACAGTTTGTCAAGGAGAGGTTATAGGTGATTATAGCTGTAGGCAGGAAGGGTTTATTGGTTTGTCTTCTGCTAAGTGAAAGCAAAATGTACATCTTCAGCACCCAAAACTGAATGCGCATTTGAAGGCAATGCTTTAATTGCACAGATTTATGTTCTCTACTTACAAAAAACTAACATCTCTGCACAACTCATCTCTCTGCCCACTCATAGGCTAGTAGTTACTGCGACAGATAGAGGAAGTCCACGACTGGCCGGTTTAGCCACGCTAACAGTGATAATTGTTGACCAAAATGACAACAGTCCCACTATTCCGTTACCCCAGGAGGTTCGCATCCCAGAAAGTAAGCATTTCAGTTTTAATAAGCTATATTTTATGTTAATCATCCATTGTTGACCGCAGCTAACAGATGCATGTCTCTTTGCTTCATTTGTTGTCAGATACGCTAATCGGCACGGAGATCACTCTTGTGACAGGCAACGATGTGGACTCCAGTCCTGCGCTCTCTTACTCCTTGCAGCTTGACCCTACATCCTTAGGCAAATTTGGGATCCATCGTTACAGTGGAGGCGTGTCACTGACGGCCCCTCTGGACTTTGAAGAGAAGACATGGTACACCCTGACAGTCAGAGCCACAGACAGCCAGCACCAAACTGAGGCCAACATTACAATATTGGTGGAAGATATTAACGACAATGCACCTGTATTCACCCATGATCTCTATCAGGTAGGACGGCCTATGAAGCAAGTCAAGAAAATGCTTTTCTTTTTTTTTTTTGCACCTATATGTATGTAAAATTATTAAACTCATTGTTTTAATGGGCACTATAAATTATGTTTGCATAAGTAAACGCGCACAGTCATTTATTTACATTTTTGACCTCTATTCACCCCTAAAGACTTGACACTACAATAAATTTAAATCCAGAAATTGTCGTTGCACCACACAGCTTTAAAACTGCTGTAAAAACATACAGGCACGTTGCCTGTGTGCACACTCTGTGGGTGATAAAAGTTAACTGCCTAATTTTAACAGGGGGAAACTTGTAGAGATGAGTATACATAAACTGTGTCAGGAAATTACCTCAACATTAGCACACACTGAGGAAAAGCAGGGACTGTGTTATGGTATGCGCTCCCCCCCCATCTCTGAGGCTACTGCCTGTTGCCCTCTTGACTTGTATTTGGAAGATTTAATATTTATGTGGTGGTGTGGTCTTATTTTACCCTGTAGATCAAATACTTTTGATTTATATCCTTTTTTTAAAGACAACAATGAATCATACTACCAACACAGACTTTTTTTTAACAACTTTGTGCGTCTTTCCATTTGTAAAGAAAAGGTCTATGTGAGTTTTGTTGTGCTGTCTATAAATGGATCTGTTTTTAAGTATATATATAATAAAATATATAAATGAAAAAAAATAAAGAAAATATTCACTAGTTGTAAAAACAAATATTTATTGGCAGATTACCCTACCTGAGCACACGCCACCTGGAAGTGCAGTTATCACAGTAACAGCAACTGACAGGGACTCTGGAGATAATGGGAGGATCACCTACAGAGTGATGTCATCCACTCAGGAGGGTTTCTATATAAACCCCGGCAACGGTGAGCTATCTTTACTCCTCAGTTTTTAGCATTAGTTTATTTTTATCACATGTGTACAGAATTTTAAATAACCTTTTCTGTCCAGGAACCTTGTTTATCAATCACCAAGCCGAGTTTGACCCTGAACGTCCAGCCGTTAACATTGTCATTGAAGCTCGAGACGGAGGCTCGCCTTCACTCTCCGCTCTCACTACAGTCCAGGTTCAGATTTCTGACGTCAACGACAACGCTCCAGTGTTTCACCAGTCAGAGTATAGGTTCGTCAATATTTATTCAAAGTTGGATCTCAGTTTATTAAGATATCATTGAAAAGTTTGCTAGTTTCAGAAACTTCCTTCTAAAAGTAAAATGTTTATATAATATAGATTCTTTAATACACAGACTGATATATTCTAAGCTTTAATTTTTTCACTTTTGATGACTATTTCTTACAGTTAAGACAAATCCAAAATTTGGTTTCTGGGTAAAGAATTACATGAGACCAGTGGTTCTTAAAGAACAATATTAAGCTTTATAAAATTATATGCAAGTAATCTACAGTAGTGATTCCCAACAGGGGGTACTCGTACTCCTAGTGGTCCAGGGGTGCACTGCAAGGGGTACATGAAAATGTTTTATTGCTCAGGTAATAAAATAAAATAGGGCTGGATCTGTTCTACTTTATGAGGACCCAACTAAAATATAAAACAAGCATTTTTCAACCAAAAAGTAAATTATTCCTGTATTTTTAAGTATCATTCCCAAGCATCAAAACCAAGCAGAGTAATGGACTCGATGTAGAGAACAGCCAGAAACTGTTATGAAAACATTTAAATCAACACTGAATCGAATTTTAGCTCAAGTGATTGAAATTAAACCAAATTCTTGTGAGATTTTCTAACAATACCAGAACCTAATGTCTGCCAAATATTGACAAATATAAAAAGAGTTTCTATAATGTTTAGGTCATAATAGTAATACAAGTAATGAAATAAGTTTGTGATGATTAAATTATTAAATCATTCTAGTTATTCTCAGGGCATGTTAGTCTAGTCTCAAATTTGATCTTTTGTTGTTTTCTGTGTTCAGGGCTACAGTGGCTGAAGACACCGTTCCAGGGTTAACCATTCTTACCTTTGAGGCCTTTGACAGTGACCTGTCACGAGAAAACTGTGGCTTTGACTTTGCCATTGCGAGTGGAAATGAAGGAAATGCGTTTCAGATTGAGAGCAGTGTACGTTTCCTAGAAGGACGGGGCTTTCAAACAGTAGGAACTCTGTTACTGGCTGAGAGGCTTGACTTTGAAACCAAGTCGCTTTATAACCTCACTGTGGTGGTGTCAGACCGAGGTGTCCCACAAAGGAGCTCCAGTGTCGCTGCAGTCATAACAATTGCCGATGTTAACGATAACCCCCCAGTGTTCACTAGAGCAGAATATACTGTGTCTCTCAGTGAGGGAGCCACCTCGGGGACTGAGATCATAAGACTGACTGCAACAGGTAGGAACATCTTTTGTTTTTATATTCTTACCTAGTTTAGTTACTGTTATTACATTTTTATATGTTTCTTTTGTCTCCATTTACAGACCCAGACTCAACTCCAAATGCTGAAGTCCAATATTCCATCAGCTCTGGAAATGAGGTGAACTTATTTTCCATTGATCAATGGACGGGAGCTCTAAAGCTTGAGCAAACACTTGACCGGGAGCAACAGTCAACTCACGTCTTTATCATTCAAGCCACAGATGGTCATGGTCATTTTGCTCTAGCTCCAGTCATTGTTGAAGTAAAGGATGTAAACGACAACCATCCATTCTTTCCAGTGGAGTTCCTGACAGCCAGTATACGGGAAAACCAACCGGTAAACTCAGCTGTGACTGTCCTCCATGCCATAGACCATGACACTGGTGTTTTTGGCCAACTGAAGTATTTTATGGTCGAAAGGTCTGGAAAAGGAAGAGACAACTTTGTTGTCGACCAGAATTCAGGAGAAGTCAGAAGTAAAAATATATTTGACTATGAGAAAGTAAACTCGTTTAGTTTCCAAGCATTAGCTGTGGATTCAGGCAACCATTCAGCCACTGTAACCGTACAGGTGTTTGTTACAGGTGAGGACGAGTATGACCCACTATTTACTTCCACACAGTTTTCATTTGAAGTGCCAGAGGGAGCAAAGAAAGGTCAAAGCATTGGTCAGGTTCAAGCACAGGATGAAGATGGAGGAGTGGATGGTGTGGTTCTCTATTCCCTGACTTCCAACTCTCCATATTTCGATATAAATAAAACTACAGGGGTGGTTTTTCTCAAGACAGACAGTTCCAGCAGCAGCAGTGGATCAGGCCAGGCTAAACAGGAAACCAGGGTAATGACCCTGGATGTGAAGGCTCACAGTCCACTTGATACATCACGCTCTACTACAGCCGAGATCACCATTGATGTCACTAACACCAACTTCGGCTTGGCTGCTGATGTTAACATACTGCTTATTATCATCATTGCTGTGTCTCTGGGAATTATCATATTGCTTGTAGTTTTGGCTGTGGTGATTTTCTTTGTCAAATCACACAGAAGGAAAAAGGATCAAGATGCAGCAAACAGGACTCTTGCATCAGGAACTGCCTTACAGAAACTGGATGAATGCACTCCAGGACCAGGAGGTGACAGTATCTACCACCAAACTCTGCCAGGTTATGCTGCTGATCAAGGAGGAGCCGGGGGTGGTCCCTACCCTAGAGGGGGCTCTTTGGATCCCTCTCACTCCAGTGGTAGAGGATCGGCTGAGGCAGCAGAGGATGATGAGATCCGGATGATTAACGAGTACCCTCGTGTTGCCTCAATTACCTCATCTATGCAGGAACACATATCTGCCAGAGGACCTGATTCTGGAATTCAGCAAGATGCCGACCAGCTTTCTGACATTTCCTGTGAACCTGCTGCTTTGGAGGGCAGCAGCTGGTTCAAAGGGAAGAAGTTAGGAGGCAGTCTGAGTGGGACCTTGCTTTCTGGTCAGCTCCCTGTTTACAGGGATGAAGGAGGTGGCTACCTAGGAGTAGGTCGTGGTCTGAACATTTCTCTCCCAAAGGATTATGCTTTCCCTGAGGACGGTAAACCTTCGGTGGACGGTTCTCTTACTGCTATTGTCGCAAGTGATGAGGAGCTTCGTGGAAGTTATAATTGGGATTACCTACTCAATTGGTGCCCTCAGTTTCAACCTCTTGCCAATGTTTTCACAGAGATTGCTCGGCTAAAAGATGAAACCGCACAGCAAAGTCAGAACCCTCGACAGCCCTTTCAACCCAAGCCCAAAATAGATCCCAAACCTAGAATTGACCCACCACCTCTTATTACATCAGTGGCTCACCCAGGGGCTATGACAGTACCTCCAAAAGTCCCTGTTATTGGGCGAACATTCCCCCACTTGTCCTCTCTACGAAGGTCCCCCATTAGCCATGAAGGATCAATTTCCTCTGCAGCAATGTCGCCAAGCTTCTCTCCTTCTCTGTCCCCTTTGGCTGCTCGGTCACCAGCTGTTTCTCCATTTGGTGTAAACCAAGGCCCCTCTGCATCAATGATCAGCACCAGAGAGCCCTCACTTGAGCAAAGTCCAGATCATGAGATGAGAATATGATCTGAACTATTTAGAGAGGGATTCTTTGAGAAGGACAACATGAACCCCTAATGAATTTGAGCTCCCTCTAGATGTGTTTTTAAGCATCAATTGTACTTTTCAGAAACCACAGACTTCATTATAAGAGCAAGAGTTTTGTAGATGTGCAGATCAACATTTACTTCGAATGTTGCTTTTTGGACAAATAAAAACTTTGCATTTATGCATTGGATTGTTCTTCAGATGCCTGGTTTGACAAGACCAACCAAAGTGTTTTTGTTTTTCCAAGTGACGCAGGTCTTTTCGAACTGATCTGGGTCACAAGGCCCTAAAGTCAGAGATCTCTTAGGATGTAGATAGATGAATGTGTTGTTTTCATGTTTACCTCACTGGCTGGCCAGAGAGCTAAAGATCCTCTCTTCGTCTCAATGGACCTTTTTTTACACTACAGTATTAAACTTGTCTTGTGGGTTCTTTATAAAATGACTTCTGGACATGATTGACCTGCCAAGGCATCACATAGTGAAACAGCAGTGGAGATTTCCTTTGGTTCAAATGACTTTTGTGTGATTTTATTTTTATATTTTTATACAAATATATGATTTCAGGTCTATTATTCCACATTGAGAGGTTATTGTTTTTGTGTATGTATTTGCATGTATGTATATTTGTATGTATCTCTTACATTTTAGAGACTCTTGTGACAGTTGTGTGCGAGTGGAAAATGTTTTTTTGTAGAATTATTTATATGAATATAAGGAATTTCTGCCACAATTTGACAACAGGAAATCAAGCAATGCTCACTTTGAACTGCTTTTTACCTGTTATGTCTTTAAGGTTTCTATTTCTTGGGTGAACTTATTAAGTATCCCAAATCCAAAACAAAGGTCAAGTTAATATACATCATCAATATGTACTTAGTAGTAAAAGCATTTGTGCTCTCTAAGGTCTTGTCCTTGTTTTTGCAAGGCTCTAAGAAATAAATGTTATAGTTTTTAAAAGCCTGTCAATCTTTCTTTTAAATGGTTCCATATTTATAAGAAAACTGTATTTTGGAGTTGAGCAGTTGAGTGTGTGGGTTGTACCAATATTAAACCAAATCCTCTCCGGGGATTTTAGAGGTGTTTAGTTGAAGTCGGTGTGGAGTTGCATCCCACTCTTTTGAAAAAGACATTATCAGAGCAATCTCAATACAGAAAAAAATATATATTGATATCAAGATTCAGAAACCACCGATAATTGCTTATCACCACCCTTAGGGACAAAACAGTCTCCTCTAACACGTAAATGCAGTCCTGTATAGAGGAGTTTATCAGAAATTAAATCCAGAATGTTGTAGTTTAAAGGACGGTATGGGCTGCATGTAATCATCTTGGGTGTGCTGCTCATGCCAAGGTGGACAAAATTGGCTCCTTAAAAACAATTTCTATTCTGGAATAACTCACTGTCATGCAGTGCCATCCCATAACAGTATGTCTGTTAAAAATGTTTGTTTCAAATAATACCCTGTGAAATTTACTCCAACCCCTTTTTTCCCCTTATACAAGCTGTCTGCCATTGGGAGAAAGAATTTTCCAACACTGCTGTTCAATTCTTTGACCCACAAATGCAGTTTACTTATAAGTGTGCCATCTTATAAAAAACATAAAATATTTTTAAGGACCATGACATTTATTTCAGAAAAGTATTATTACAAGACAGAAGGAACCAACTAAAAACAAATGTCCACAATCTGACCTTCTCCAAATAATCAGTATTATGTTTTGGTGTGTGCTTAAGCACAATGGCACATTTCCATTCAGGGACATCGGAATTTGCTGATCACCTATGTGTCTTTGACAGAAAGTGCTTCCTGAACTACATTCACATCATTAAATTAAAGGTGTTGAACTACAAAGGTCTGCATATTATATTAATGAAAATGATGTCCCATAAAAGCTATTATTTTTTAATCTGCTATGGTATAACCTTACAAGAAAACGACAAAAACAAAACACTGTTTATTTGTGTTTGCAACTAAAGCCATTTTCTAAAACTTCCTAGTAAAAAATAAAGATAAAAACAGCTGAGAATTTTCTGAGTCCAAAACAAGCATATTCAGGATGGTATGAAAGTATTCAGCTGAAGGGGTTTTCTCGTTGGGGTTTTCTGGGCCTGTCCTAAAGGGGAGGAGCCACCAGAACTTAGCCAGAACTTTAATAACTATGTCGAATTGATTGGCCTGAGATGCCTTTGGATCCCCAAAATGAAATGAAATGTGTTGGGAAAATTGTGTCTGAGAAAGTGGAGGGAAAAACACAACTTTTCACTTGTTTTTTGTTTTGTATTCTGGAGAATTTGTAAAAAACATACTGAAGATGTTAAATGATCTTAGATTTATTAGGCAAGTTTCATAATGTAAAAAGAAAAAAATCCACTGTCAACTAAATACTTCGTTTGACTGCTTAGGGGTCTCCAAATGCAGTCCTCCAATATCAAATGAGTCGCTCATTTAAGGCTATTGCTGCAGTTCATGGCATCCTTAGAGTTCAACCATTTGATTCAGCTCTTTTCTTGTAGGGTTCTTTTTAATTTTCCAGGGGAGTAGCTGTCGACCACTGGAGTTGATGACCTCTGGTAAAAAGCTGAATTTGTACTGTTTTCTTTAAAATCACACAGATCATGCTACTCTAAGTAATGTATTTTAACATGGTTTTTAATAATATCTCTTCCAACTTCACTCCCAGTTGGTGAAACAGTAGCAGTGTTATTCGGGGATACAGACTGCACTTTGGCAGTCAAAGCAGAGTGATCCAGTGTTAAGCAAGTTCTGACCCTACATTTTAAACCAAGTTGGAGAAATGTAGCACATAAGCCAAACAAAAGGGAAGTAAATGCCTCAGTGCACAATCCCAAATGAATGTACAGGAATTTGGAGACTAATGCAGTATTTGTGTCCGTTTTACTTTTAAGTTTAATGCATTTAATGATTTCATTTCAGTAAATCTGATTTTCAGCCACATTAAAATGTGCTGTTTTTTGTTTCTATAATGTTTTCCAGACTTTATCCCCCATCCCGGTTTTTCAGCTATGGGCCTAAAGAATATCATTTTCTTCATACAGCCAAGCCACATTGTGTGGATCTCCCCTTTTATTCCAACAAGTGTTGCTACCTCTGTTTTAGTTCATTATCATACCATGTTTTTCATGCAAAGCTGCTGGTGACATGCAGAGATGATTTCATGGATTCTCAAAAGGTGTTGTGTTGATGGGCAGTGATTTAAATACCAATTCCAGTGACTGATCAGTGAACTGAGGCCAGCAGAAATGATGAGACAAACTGTTCCTGTATTTAAAGCAAATAATAAATTCCTACTGATCTTTTTTGACAAACTGGAGTCAGACCTCATTTTTATAGGGAATAATCCAAGACCACAAGAGAAGAAAAGGCTGCTAACAGGTACTGTACAAGGTTCTGATTAAAGAAAAAAAAAAAAATAGAAATTTATAAATTAACATGCATTTGGTACAAAACAATGTTTGCATTTGTTACAAGCTAATTTTAAAACAATCAACTACATTTTGTTGCTTTCAGTGATCATTTAAAAAAGGAAAAAATGTGTATTATAGAATTGAACTACAAGGTGTGGTGTATGTGCTAAAGTACCAAACTTCTGTACGGGGCAACCCATTTTTTTCTAATTGTATACTTTAATATACCCTAATAGTGGCCAAAGGGTAACATTTTTGTTGGCTGACACACTTTGAAGAAGGTTCTATTGTCAAATCAAACTAACTTTGTGTCACCATGTCTTGGTGTTTGGGTTTGTTTTTCTGTTGTGTTCTGTTTACATCTCTGTTAAAAATGTCTTCTGTTTAGATAGTGTCTATTTCTTTATGTTAACCTTCATGTTCATTAGCCTTTCTATTTCTGCTGCCCACTTTCCATAATTATTCATGCCCACTTCTATTAAGTTAATTCAACCCACCTATTCCTACCAATCCCACTCATGTCTCTAAGTTGTTTATCTGTTATTTAGCTTCCTGATTTGTCTTTCTTTCTGCCTGATCCTGAAACTGCCATCCATGTTCTGTTTTCTTTGTGACCTGTGGTACATTTTATCCTTTATATTTCCTTAAATGCTTACATTCAGCATGCCACCCCAGAGATCCTGTCTGGGCCAGCATATAAACCGACATTTAATCACTATGAACTTTCCAGCCTACATGCAGAGTTATGTGCATCAGAAAATGAAAACTGTATATTCCCATAAAAAAACAATCACAACAGTGAGACATTGTGGGAATGGTAAAATTGTGTTACATCCATGTTGTAAAGGGAAAAAAAAGTTGGTTAAAAATGTAAAAAAAATATATATATATTTAAAATCAATTAGTTAAACTCAACAGGACAATGCATGGAGTATCTTGTCAATAAAACTACACAATAATTAATTATGCTGGATCTGTTTTTAAAGGAAACGTTTAAATGAGATTGGTAATTTTTAAATTACTACGTAGAAGATCAAAGTGGGGAGGGGAAGACCAAAAGACCTTCAACTCTGGTTGCAGTAAATAGTTGTTCAATAAATAGTTGATTAAGAATGGCTCAAACATGCACATATTTTAGATTTTTATTTGTGTACAATTCCTATACTTTCTCCACCTAGTTATTCTGCATTAGTTTGTGTTTGTACAATTTATAAAATCCTATAAACACTTAGCTCTATTAATATGTCTACAAAGAATAATAACACAGACTCAGCCTTGACCTACATAATCACCTGCAAACAAAGTAGTAGTTACAGTCTGCTGCCTCAAGATTTATTTTGCAGCCTGCGGCCTCACTAGTCCCACACCAATAAATAATCACAGGCACACAGATAAATTAGCTTGAGACTGCTGCTCTGTGACACGCATGTCCCACTGCAACCTCTGTAGCTATAATAGCTGGCCCAGATTCTGTTCTTGAGGGAACAAATTGGACTGTTTCTTTTGCATTAAACATACAACAGAATTTTGTTTAAGGCAGAACAATGCCCCCTGAAGAACAAGAAATCAAATTTTAAATTTCTACTTCGTGCAAAATGCAGGACTCTACTTTGCAAAAAAAGCTGGGAGAGAGTTTGTGTTCTGTCTACTATTACAATGTGTTTCACCAGCAATATTTCCAACCTGACGTTTCCAGCTAGCAGTAAAATGTTTTATAATCAACTTTTTTGGAGAAAGAAAGTAAAAAACATAATTTACAAGCTCAAGTACATAATTAAACAGGATCATTAACCTTAAAGTCATAGATTGAACTGCTCATGACATCTTCATTTTCTATACTATTTTAAGCCGGGCATAAACTGTACGATTTTTTCATTCATTGCACCATCTACAGCTCACACTGTACAAAGAAACCGCAAGGTTTAAAAGTTTACAGCCCACGATGTATGTTCTAACACTGTGCGACCCGACAATCTGATGCGATCTACCTGCTTACACTTTACGTCTAAAAAACCCGTCGAACTCAACGCTGCAGTGGGATGGGGTTACTCGGACTCATCTATCCGGAAGCCAAATGAGTAGAACAGGAATATGAAGCTCACTAGTGTGAAATGCATTGCCTTGGCAATTTGTGCAATTTTGTGCTGAAAGCCCGAAAAACAAAGGCCAACGTATTTGGACATTGACATGGCTGAGCAAACGTGGCTACTACGGTCTCGAAATTTTACAGAAAGAACTCAATTTCACTCACACCTCCACCTTGATTCTGTGTTTTCCTCTGAGAGAAAGAAAAGGAATCCTTGTTTGCCCACTGAGCGATTTGCCCACAACAGCGGACTGAATTCCAAACATGCTTGATTTTCACCCGATCAGGAGTTGGTTATGAGTTGCTGATCACCCCTTGCTACCCTTGTACACTACACAACACACGAAGCACAACCGGACTGAAAGTCGGCCCGAAGACTTGAAAATCATCCCGAAAAGGGAAAAAAATCGTACAGTGTAAACCCGGCCTTAGTTAGTCCTGGATTAGGAGGCTCATAGTGGGGCAGGGCTATTTTATAGACTGTTGATCCAAAAGCCAATTTACTATTTACAGGTTAAATAGATAAAGGATGGGCAAAACAATTGATTGTCTTCCTGTTTATAACATAATCTAAGAATAGAGATAAAGGAATGTAAAAAAAACAGTCAAATTAAGTAGATTTTTTGCAAACATGGATAGTTATTGGCAGGAAGGATCCTTTATTTTGCTACTGATCTGGAGCTGGGCTCCCTTAGGTTTTCCAGCCTTCTTTAAATTTGTCTGCTCCTAAGCTCTCAAAGTATTGCCCATAAATATTGATGGAGGAGATAGCTTGAATTTCCTGCTCCTTTCCCCTCCTGCTTCTTTCATGCTCATTTTCTCTTCTTCTTGCTTCTGCTCCTCATCCTCCTTTTAAATCAGCAGGTACTTGCAGAAGTAGTTGAAGTATTAGTTCAGCTTTGGAGATGTTAATCAGCTGCTCCTGAGTAAAAAGAAACCTTGTTGTGGTTGCTATGGTTACACATTATAACAAATGTCCAAAAAGAAAAGTGTGCTACCATAAATCTCTCCAGTTGTATGCCATAAAACAACAACAACAAAAAAGAAACATATGGAGGAACTAAAGCTCTTTTACATAAGTGATTCAAGGGCGTGCTTCGGTGCCGTACTGGTTAGCGCGCACGACCCATGTACGGAGGCCTTAGCCCTCGACGTACTGGGTTCAAACCAGGTTCAAATCCAACCTTTATCCTAACCCCACTGTATAAAAAAAAAAAGAGCTACTCATGGCGTAAAAACTTCAAAAAACAAACAAGAAAAGAAATTCTGCTAAATAGCCACCCCAAAGCAGCTACCTTGCAGTGCAATTCTAGAAACTTTACGCCTAAGTTGCATGTTCAATGTGAATACTTTTAAGCTTCTACATAAAAGCAATTTAATTTAAAAAATGAATATCTTATGAAATTTTAGCTGTTATAGTACATCTCAGTGAAATGAAAGGAGCGCTCGCTATTCTCTGCAACTATATCTGTGTTATTACGATCTATGACAAGTTTGTTTTTCCTGGAGTTCCAGTACATACGCTCCTGTGTACCCCCTTTCAGCCAATATGACAGAAAAAAAGAAAACAAAGGAAACAGGTCAGAGCTTGTAGAGTCAGATGCAAGTGGGGTATTTTGGCCTTTGATATCTTCAACAAATATCCCTAAAAATCTTTTAGCTTACCCAGTGCGTACAAGAACCAAATCCCATAGGAAAAACTATTAGCTCTCTAAGAAGGATAGAATTTCCAGGTAGTTTTACACATATGTTTTTACTCATACAGTATAGTTAAAACTGCTCCGTTAAAGAATTACATTGTTTCAGTTAATTGCTTTCAGTCATGTTTGTTGTGCACCAAAATAAAAGCATATGCTGGTCAATTAAGGAAGGCTATTACAGTATAAGTAGCCCTCAAGATACAATTGCATCTTTGTGGATTCAACTTCACAGCACTTCAGCTGCTGGAAAGGTAGTGTTTTTTTACAATCACAGTTTGAGAAACTAGCCTTAAATGTCAGAAAATGATCCCCAAATGTTTGGAACTGAAACAAACCCTCTGGAACACTTGCATTTTGATATATCATGTTCTCAACAAATGTAATATTCTAAACAAGCACACTCTGTTAAAAGGCCTGTTTTATTTCCATTAGGGCTGGAAAATTTGCAGCTGTGCTCCCTGGGAATCCACTGCAAACCATCACTTCTGACAGGGAAATTAGTGTCTAAGTACTCATTCATTTGGACATTGATTAGCCCAGTTTCATTAGATGATGAATCTGTGGATTCCCATAACTATTCGGCTATGTAAAATGTCAGTAGGTAAATAAAGATAAGTTTTTAAAGGTGCCTACCACCTGATAAAGCGTTGAATGTAGGTCAAAGAAGAGAGAGGGAAAATACAGACCAGATCTCTGAAAGTAACTGTTTTTATTGCCTCTTTAAGCTGGGCTTGAGCCTCTGCAGGGATTTCCAGCTTTAATTTGAAAGAAAAGCCATTTTAAAGATGCATAAATAGCAAGTATAGGACGCAAACATTTATAATTCCAGAGTAGATATATCGATGCCAAACACCACCTGCAGTTTTTATTTATTTTCTAAAAGCTGAACCAAATTTTCACATGAAGCCGACTTAAAAAGATGTATGCAGTTGCTTCTATTTAGTTTTACATGTTTCAAAGTTAAAGACTTCAAACTACAGGGTATCAGATTTGTTGACAGTGTGCAAGAAATATTTAATGGCTTCACAATATGAACTACTGCTTGTATACATATAAAAAAAATTACAGTTTTCTTTTCATTTCCATACATTTTTAGTGTTGCTACATCTTTTTTAAGTTAAAT